CCCCCCCCCCGTCTCTTTCTCTCCCAGTTTTTTCCCTCCTGCCCCCACCCACAAGTTATATAGTTCATTTTCGATATAGTGCCTAGTGAGTACCTCTGCTGCATTTGTTCACCCTTTGTCCCTCCATTTCTGTGTCTCCCCCCTTACCCTCCCAAAGACAGATCAGTGAACAACAAGAAAAGAAAACAAAAATAACAACAATGGGAAAAAACTCTTGCTTCCACTTCTTGAGTTCATGTTGATCAATAGTATCTGATGTGATCAGAGGCACAGAGGCATTGTGCCTTTGTGATCCTCCCCTAAGAGAATCTTCCTCTGGTCTCACTGTGTGTGAACGCCTGGACGATGTCCTGTGTGATTTATCATGTGCTGGTGTATATTGGCATTTTAATTCCAGCCAAATGATAGACACTTGGCTTGTTAGTGTTTTTTTTTGCAGATTGGCTAAACTCTAGGCAGCCCATCAGCCTGCAGCTTGTGTCTAGTGAGGGCTGGAATACCAATGGTGGCTCTTGGAAACCACCCATCTGGGAAGGGTCCTTGTTGCTCTCTGCACATGTGAAACAGGAGTGTGTCTCAGAAGCCACGTGTTACTTGTTCTGGTCTCCTCGGTCACTGGACCACATGGCAGATGGCCCAGTGAGACAAATCATCCTCTTTACAGAGAGTAAAGCACACAGACCTGGAGTGCCTAGCTCTCTGTGAGTATATCACTATCAGCGTGAAGGCCGAGCGCCTCGTCACGTACCAGATCAGAGCCTACACCTTCGTGGAGGGCAAATGGCAGCAGTTCAAGACCAACCAGATCACACAGAAGTTCCGGTGCAACAAAAAATGCTGCAAAAGCTACGTGAGCATTCCCAATTGCCTCTGTCTGCTCTTCTCTCTTTCCTTTCTTCTTTGCTTTTTCTCTCCCCTGGCCTCTTTGTAGGGAACCCTGGCTTACAATCTTTAGTGATCTAAAGGAGGAGCCTTCTCAGTTTCTTTGGGCATGGTTCCAAAGAATGCTAAAGAGAAACCTTCTGGAAAGAGCCTAAATTGTTTGTGTGGCGACTCAGGAGGGTGTGTTCGATACCAGTGCTGGTATCTACTGGTACCTATGCCTAGCCCATCTATTTCCCCGAAATCCTGGCCGGAGACTACCTGCCTTCCCCTGACTGATCAACTCGGTGGGTGCAGCCAGCATCTGGGCAGGAGCAGCACCTTCTACGGGTATGATCCTGAAATGGTCAGAAAGCCTAGGGAGGACTTTGAATGTGAATTCAAAGACATCTGGGGCCTCCTCTGCTGCCTACAAGGGACAGGGACTGTCCTGTAGAGCAGAGAGCTCTTCGCAGGTCCTGCTGGCTCTGTCACCATCACCTAGGGGCTGTAAGCATCTAGCTTGGAGACTGGCCAGACTGGAGACCGCATGCACCCTGCAGGGGCCTGGGTTTCTCTGGATACAATCTTCCAGGTTGCTTCTGGCGATGCTAGCAGTCTGCAGTAGCAATTTCCTTTGTGGGTTGGGGGGAGGTGGGCTGCTGGTGGGAGGGCACATGGGAACATGGAGGAGGCTTCCTTTGAAAGGCTGGGGAGGGCCGTCACCTTGATCATGTGCTGGCTATGCAGCCCTGCTTCCTCTAGGACCCCTCCCAAGCTGTACTCTTGAGGTTTGGGCCTTCATTTTGTATTTATGCCTCAGATGTTAAGTTATTTAGAAACCTTGCCTTAATGATTCGAGGTGTAGCCTTCCTCTTCCCCTTTTGTAGGTTCTGACTGTGTTCTCACCCTAAAAGACCCCTTTGCTGTGTTTTGTTTCACATTGCAGGTCTTGAAAATCCAAACTGTGGGAAGCCCAATCTATGCGAGTTTCGCATTCATCTTCCCAGTAACTTGATAGTTTCCAGAAGAATCTATGAGATATGACATCTATCTGCTTAAAAGGAAATAAAATGACATTCAAGAGGGGTGTCTAGTGTCCACCTGCCTGCTCTCATGGTCATAGTCCCACATTTGTGGCTCTTAAGGATGGCAGGTGTCAGGGTCATACATCTACTTGCCATTCTTGGCCACAAAGCACACCATATCTAGCTTCTTGGGGTGTTTTAAGAGCACCTTGGTAACAACAGACTTCCACCAAGAGCTCCAGTACTTCCTTCATGTCCCAGATCTACTTGATACACAGAATATCATCATCCCTGGCTGCTTTGGCTCATTTAGAGCAAGAAGTAAGAAGGGATGGATGCAATTACCAGGCTTGGTGTAACTTAACATATTTAGCACCCTACTCTTTTTTTGTGTGTGGGATGGGAGTACCATTACTGGGACTTGAACTTAGGACTTAAGCACTGTCCCTTAGCTATTTTGCTCAAGGCTGGTGCTCTACAATGTGAGCCACAGCTCCACTCCCAGCTTTGTTGCTGGTTAATTGAAGCTAAGAGTCTTATGGACTTTTCTGCCCAGGCTGGCTGTGAATTGCAATCATCAGATCTCAGCCTCCTAAGTAGCTAGGATTATTGACAGGATCCACAGGCACCTGGCCATTCTATTTTTTTAAATAGACTGGCTGGTTTGGAAAGGTTGTGTGTTCATCTTTCATTGCAGTGTAGCAAAGTACCACATGTAGCAGCCTGAAATCATGCTCACTTATCCCCTAACAGTTGAGAAATTCAGGCATAGCCTCACTGGGTTGTATGCCCAGGGTATCTCAGTCCTACAGTTGAGAGGCAGTCAGTCTGTATTTCTGTGAAAGAATCCCATCCATGCCCATTCAGATTGTAGGCAGGTTCCTCTTGCAGCCAGCCTTATGACGAGTACCTCACAGCTACTAGAGCTGGGAAAAGATCACCCAGGTCCTAGTAGCCCCTATAGGTATTTCAAGGGATGGCTGTTGGCTTCTCCAAGGCCAGAGTCTTTCACTCGGTCCATTATGATGGAGTCCTGCATGGTAGACCCTAATCACCGGTGTGATGTCCCATCTCCCTTTGACCCATTCGTTGGGCTAGAGGAAGTCATGTGTTCCACCCATGCCCAAGGAGAGAGACTTGTGCCAAGGGTCATCTTAGGGTGTGGCCCCCACCGTGTGTCACCTGTTGTCTTTGGAAAAGCAGTGGAGAACTTAGGATGCCGTGCAGGTGAGGCAGGGACGTTTAGTTGAATGCTTACCTGAGAGGTCCAGGGAACCTCTTCCCCACTAGAAGGACCTGGGCTTGGGAGCCTCCTGCAAGTCCTTTTTCCTGGCCTCCCTCATTGGTACTTTTTGGTTAGTCTGATCAATGGGAACCAGTGATGGGAGCAGAGGAGATAAGAGCCAGAGAAGCCAGAATAGCTCCATGCCCGTGAGAAGAGGCCATCGCCTGCGGTGGCTGTCTCTCCCTGGCTCTGGCTCATTCTGGCTGCCCTGTTTGCCACCAGACTTCCTGCTCAGCAGCCTCCTGCCGGCACCCTCCTAGTTCTGATACTCCCACCTGTCCCGAGGGGGGTTGTGGTAGGAGCATCACTCTGCCTTTTGGCTTCTCAGCTTTTCTGGTAGTTTCCCTGTGACCAGTTCTCTGTATTGTATTCATTCTACTTGAACCCCTGCCCTGGGGTAGTTGGTGATTTCAGGCTTAGGAACAGATAGAGACAAAGATGTGGTGCTGTGGGGTGGATGGTTGGGTAACATGACTGACCTCAATAATCTCACCCAGTCTTCCCTGCAGGGCTAGGACTAGGCAGAGCCCACAGGGGTACCTGCTTAGGGGACCAGAATACTCAGGGGAAAAACCCTCCTTCCCCCACCAACTACCTACTATGTAGTATTGGATGAATTGTCAGAAGGTGAGGGGGGGAAGTGGACGAGGAGCAGCAGGTTCCTGGCCCCGCCCCAGACCAACATTACCCAGATTCCCAGCACCACCAACTAGTTTGGTCACTGAGTCTGAATATTTCATCAATAAAAACACTCCTTTGTGGTTGCATGCGTCCACTCAACATCAGGTTTGAGAGAGCACTCTGTATTTATATAGGGCGTGGTCATTAATTTTCAGACAAGTGTAATGGTTTTTTTTTTAAAGTAAGCATTACTTCTATAAAGTAATATATTTTGTTGAAGACAAAAATATAAACAAAGTAAAATGGAGAGGACTGAGTCACTGAGGACCTCTGCCATGATCTGGGGTATGTTCAGGGGTTTCTAGTTTTGCTAATATTGTATGCTTCTCTGAACCCTGATTTTCTGATATGCCTCCTCCCAAACCACTAGGCATCAAACTCAGGGATCAAACCACTAGGCATCAAACTCAGGGCCTTGTACCTGCCAGTCAGGCACTCTACCACTGAACTATTACCTGGCCTCTGTTCTGTCTCAGAGGTTAAGTGGGATGTATCTTTCATCAGAAGCCCAGTGGCTGGGGAAGAACGGATTGAGGTGTTTGTCTTACCTTCAAACTGACTAACTGTACAACATCAGAAAATGCACTTGTCACTCTCTGAACGTCTTATCTATAAGAAGGGCAAACAGTGGCTCTTCTGCCTCTGTTTGGGGCTGTGCCTTGCTGGGCCAGCCCTTGTACAGATGTTTGAGAGCATTACCTGCTCTACAGGAAGTACAGCCTTGGAGTGCGCTTCCACAGTGCGAATGGGCTCCCAGGTCTGACAAGAGCCAAAAATGCTGGAAAGCAGCTGAGCCCCTGCAGTTTATGCCTAAAACCCTAGCTCCTCAGGAGACAGATCTGAGGATTGTGGTTCCAAGCCAGCCTGGGCAGGAGAGTCTGAGACTCTTCAAGTAACAGCCAAAAGGCCAAAAGTGTGGGTAAGGCTCAAGTAGTAGAGCACCAGCCTTGAGCAAAAAAAAGCTAATCCCCAGTACCTGCATGCGTGTGACACACGCACACGCGCGCACACACACACACACACAGAAAAGCAAATCTTCAGATGTCTGAAAGAGAGGCTCTTCAAAAGCATTATACTGAAAAGCCAGTAACTGCCCACCTTCCAGGTAGAGGGGATGTTAGATGTTTGCCCTGTGCGAGCTCAAGCATAGCAGCAGTATAGACAGTGTGTCCCTAAAAGGGACATAATATGATGAGAGGCCTGAGAGGGACAGAGGAGAAAAGCACCCCAAAGCAGGCAGGGAAAGGGCCTGCAGGATGGGGCTGCATCCCCACTCTCCTTGCTGCAAGAGGCAGCAAGACTTGGAGTGACAGGGAAGGAGCCTTTGACATTCATTCTACCTCTCCAGTGGACAGAGGGGGGAACTGAGGCACACAGCAAGCTGGGGTGACAATACTGGTTGGTGCCTCTCACAGGCAGACAACATACTGACCAGCTCAATGAATTTTCCCCAGTTCTCCTAGAGGCAGTTTGCTAAGAGAATAAGCTGAGCCCTACAGACAATACGGAATTTAGTTATCTAAGAGTCTTTCGTCAAACCAGCAAGAACTCCAATGTGAAATTGTTGGCTCCTTTACCCAGTGTAGAAACAAAACAAAAACGACACAACAAAAAACCCTGCAAAGAACAAAAACATGCAACCCTATTTTTTACCACACTGCCTTATTGTAAAAGGAAACAGGCATATCCAGAAACAAATTTCCTCCAGCACAAAATAAACAGCTCCTAAGCAACGAGGCACCTACTTCCTGCGCCTGAACCATTTGCTGCTATGCTGAGAATCCACCCATACCCACTAGAGGGCGGGGTCCACCTCAGAAATGGAAAATGAGAATTGCAACGGCTGAACTTTGCAACCTGATCTCAAAATTTTGCAACCCGCTGCTCAAAGTTCTCCTTGCATAGTGGTTGGACGTGAAATTGGTACATGCTGGGGGAGGACTGCATGTTACAAAGTCTGTAAACTTTGGACATAATTCTTAAGAGTAAAACCTTACAAGCTTTTCTTCCGAGTGAGCGAGCTTGCTTGGTAGACTGGAATGCTAATGAACAGTTGCAATGGCCGTTGCAATGGCCGCCAGAACTGGACAGTGAAAGCACGCCATGTCTGAAACCTCTTTGGCCTGCTTGCTTTTCAGTGTTCACCTCCAGCCTTGCTAGCTCAGGATTCACTCTATGTATGGAAAGTGAGGTTGCTAAGTCGGCCTGAGCTAAGTGAGAAGCCTGGCTGTCCCTCCCATCTGTGTGACCTCTCAGACACCTCTCAGAGGCCCAGCGCCTGAGTTAAACCTAGCAGTGAAACTGTTGGAATTAAGTAAGTTGATGGGATTTATAAAGTGCCCGACTCAGGATAAGTGCTTGACACAGTTTGCTCCTGCTTGATGGTTTCCTCAACTCCCTTGGCACTTGAAGGTTGAGATGGATGCTGTGTAGGCTTGGACAGGACCTGCTCTTTCTTGGGGACTGCTGCCTCTTATGCACATTGAGGAGGTCAGACCAGGGGCTCTGTGAACGTGTGTCCAGCTGGAATCACAGATTCTATGAGAGGAGCAGTGAGGGTGGCCGAGCCTGAGAACTGGGGAAAGCAATGAACCGTGGCTTAGTCTCCCATGGATTTATCAGGATAAGAGTAAGAGTGGCCCTTCTCTTCTCCCTTTTGAGAGGTATCCCCGAGACCAATGCATCTTGTGGTATGGTGAGGAGAGGGAAGTTCTCATCCTTGTAAGGCTAGGATGGGAGGTGCTGGGTTTGGGCTTCCTGATTTGATGGGGAGTGGTCCAACTAGAGTGGCTTGCCCGCAAGGTAATGAGTATAGGAGAGGGTGGGGTATGGCTTACTAACCCAAGAACTTCAGAGCTGAGGGTGGAAAAGAAGGTTCTGCTAGAGGAGACAGAGATGGGACAAATCTGTATGTGTGAGCTGGGGGGCGGGCACCACCCTCCAGAACTTTCTCTGTTGATACCTGTCCATTACAAGAGCCAGAAGCCATGTGTGGCGACTGAGGGCTTGAAATGTGACATGTGCAACTGAGCAGTCGAGTTGGTGGTTTTATTTCATTTCAGTGT